CTCATCTTGACAGAATGAGGCTACTCAAATGTGACAATCGAACGAGCTGCAAATCAGCAATTCTATTTGAGATAAATTTATTGATTGTTTGTATTTTTTTATTCTGTTTCTCTGCCCCTGTGTGAGGCATAAATCCTGCGAATTGGACGATAGACATAAACTCTCATTGGGTACAATAATGCGCTAAATTCCATCATAAGAAAGTAGGTAGTGAAGCTCCCCATGGTTCCAGAGTTTATACCATTCATTTCGCCGTTTACTGATCTGCATATCTCTGAGCTGCCTAATTTGGCGACTTGCCGTCTAAATCATTATCTACCTTGATCAGTATGTGAGTTATTGTTACGTATCGATCATTTCCCACACTCGCTTATCCAATCGTAATGCAAAAAATACGTCTGATTTTCAAATCTTATAAAGGCCATAAAAATAACCCAAACTTTCAACAGCTTGGAGCTTCTGCAACATCACATTTTCAGAAGCATCGGCTTAGGCTCATCATGAGTGGAAATTCTATCTGATAAAGTAAATGAAAGCTAGGGTTATGCTGGGCATTTTTAAGGCCTGAGGAGGTCTCAAAGGTCTTTTGTAGTTTTCAGTTTCATTTGGACATGTGGCTTTTTTGTTATTGCATAAGGGACCGGAATAAACCAGTTCCTTCAAAACCGAGAGTCTATTTAGATAGCCAAGCCCAAGGGTCCACCATACTGAAAAAATACTTCGTGTTTGCTAACAATAGAGGTGGTTCAGATGGTTCTACCCAACATCCTATCGCAACAGAGGGTTTTATAGAGAAACTTACAGTTTAAAAGGATATTTACAAATGATGCCGTTCGTCACAAACATGTCACACTAAGGTTGACTGAAGTTTTTGTCTGGTATAAATGCATTCTATGTTATGTTTTGTCCCCATGGTGAATACGAAACTAGACGAAATATGATATAAGTTCCTACAATTAGTTAATCATTCTGGGAAAATACTCATAGAACGTACTGCATCTAATCACTATTCAACACGATCGTCTGACAATTTTCCGTTGCTAACCGAGCAGGAAAGCATTAGAATTGCTTTCATTTTAACCTAGATCAAACAATCAAAGGACATTTTTGCTGACATTTCACCTGGGTAGAACTCTTCACATAGGAGAAAATTACATGCAAAATTAAACCACCCGCTCCATCCCCTTGAACCAGTCAGTCATCCAAAAAGAAATCGGCAAGAGGGACGACCTATCATGTAATTCTGCGTATTTCAATACCACATACGAATAGACACGAATGAAACAACGATAAGCTTCCTTGTGTCCCACCACATACGAATAGACACGAATGAAACAATGATGAGATGCACCAGGCACTATATGCATGCCCATATGTTATCACGACAGCCGGGTGAGCTACAGCACAACAGAGAGTCTACCGGAGGACTGCAGAGGCTTCATTCCTGAAGATGGTTAAAATTGCACAAAGTCACTTGTTTTAATTCACTGCAGAGAACTACTCCCCAGTGAGTGAATCTATGTTACACTGGTCAAGGTAAATAGTGCATTCTAGAAAAACTCCAGAACGTTGAGTGACCACTAAGGGAGCACTGGAAGATTATATTTAAGTTAAACGTGGCTAAAGTTTGTGACAAGAAAGTAGAAATGTCGCAAATAATCTGTTTATCTATCTATCTATCTATCTATCTTTCTATCTATCTATCTATCTATCTATGTATCTAACTATCCATCCATCTAAATGTATATCTATTTATCTATCTATCCAACTATATATCTAACAACATATCTATCATTCTATCTATCTATCTATCTATCTCTCTATCTATCTATCTATCTATCTATCTATTTATCCTTCTATCTATCTAAACATTACCCCGAATAAAATCAGAACAAATCTGGAAATAATGACAGCCATAGGTCATAAGTGAGATAGACTCATTTGAAAACGAAGTTCGCAACAATGGGCGACTAAATCGCAGGTGAATCTTTCAGTGACCTCAGTGACTGGACCAACTGATGGGCCCAGGAAAGAACAAAATTGTCTTTGTGTTGTTGATGGACAGTCTGCTGTCCCAAGAAGATTTAGGGGCCTTTCCTTCTCACCAACCTTCTGAAAAATGAGAAGAACTAAATCACATTATTTAGTCGTTAATGCTATTGTGCTGCCTGGTTTTCGAACTCATGTCAGGATCAACTACCCAAAAATAACTTGGCTTAAGTTAGTCGATGTGGTTGTTTATTTTGGAGTGGTTGTTTTAACGTATTCCTTTTGTAGTTGCCTCCGAAATTCTTCTCTACTTTGTCGCCAGCATCGGCTTTAAGCCCATCTTTCTCTTATCACAAGAACTTGCGTAAACAAACGCGATCTATTTGGGCGTTGTGGTTGTGAAATAAGCAAGAGGCGTTCGTTAAGATTTCCGCCAGAAAATGATGGTTTGTTTTCCTACCAAGTAAGGACCACCCAACGAAATATAAATGATGACCGTGTTGTTAAAACTTGCACCCCGCGCGAAAAAGCCTTGTCATCAATCTTTGCGCTGCACGCACGCTAAGAAGAAATCCCACTAAGGGGTCACGTGCCCAAATCGATAAATCTGGCCGGCTGACGCCATGTAGTTTGTTGAATGGACGGTTGACGTGAGTGGAAGTAATGAACTTGATTTACGACCACTGCCATTTGCAACACTCTAACAATGTTTGAGTAAAAGCGGCAGACACTCGTCCTGAAATTTGAATTTGGTCGTCGCTGGCACTTCCTAACTTGTTACATCGCAAACCAATAGTTTTTTGTGGTGTTACTGCTCTCCGGTCCAAAAGATGGGTGCTAAAATCAATTATTCTGAAACAATCCTTTATATTGACTTGGTCGTTCTGGCTCTCAGGTCAAGAATTCTCAATAATTAACCCACCAATCATAAACCTCTTCAATAGAATGGCTCTTTAGCCGTGATCACACAAAGCTTCTGTTGAGACCATCCAGTTTTCTGGGATTTTTCTACTCAAAGCTAATGTCAAAACAACCGACCGCGGATCGCCAACGAGACGGTTACGTGGTAACCTACTGCCTGAAGAGGCTGTGTGCGTTTCTTACTCTAGAGAAATTTACAACGAGCACTAGATTTATGAAACTGGAAGTTTGGTGGGTGAACACACACGTACAAACGTAAGATGTTAGCAAAATCCACTCATTTGCGGGCCAGCTTGGTTTTCAAGGAGGACCAAAAAGAATCTCACGTTTGTGATGTCCTCCATCAACTGAAGGTGCTGCATCAGACCTCAGATGAGTGCAGTTTCATGCAATCTGTTTACGTATGACACAAGTTGGACAGAAACTCAGGAAATGTGTCTACATGGTGACCCTCAAATAGGAAGAAGCTAGTAATGGATTGTCAAAGTTTTTCAGCAACTTTACCGGCGGTGTTACTTTTCTACAACGTGTTAGCAAAATCCACTCATTTGCGGGCCAGCTTGGTTTTCAAGGAGGACCAAAAAGAATCTCACGTTTGTGATGTCCTCCATCAACTGAAGGTGCTGCATCAGACCTCAGATGAGTGCAGTTTCATGCAATCTGTTTACGTATGACACAAGTTGGACAGAAACTCAGGAAATGTGTCTACATGGTGACCCTCAAATAGGAAGAAGCTAGTAATGGATTGTCAAATTTTTTCAGCAACTTTACCGGCGGTGTTACTTTCCTACAACGTATTGAGATACTAGTGTGCCAATAGAAAAAACGAGGCGTGCCGGCGTAGCCCACTCATGTGAAGAACGTTATAAACGGAAGATACACTTGGGTCTCCCTTGGAAACCGAATGGGCATGCGACTGGGTGTAAGAAAAGAAAGAAAGCGTTCAGCTGTAGCACCCTTCCGGTGCCTAACTGCCATGCCACCCGAAGGAAGCACGAGGGCTAGGATACTGCCAGGTTGCCCAAGCCTAGACAGGGGAAATCGAGAGGCAGAGGTCGGATTCGAACCACGAACCTTCCGGTCAGGAAATTCGCGCTCGAACCACTTGGGCCATCTCGCCAGTGATTCGCTAGTGATTCAATATTTTTGGTTTATGGAGATCCATTGACCATCCTGTTTCCAAATTTCCATTCAGTTGGTATAACATGTGCTTGAGACCACAGGAATACTTCCTTTGATTACATGTGATTATTTGTAGTATGTACCGAATTCGTGTCTACATTGCTTTAATGTGTCGCTGTTTTGGGTTGTCTCTTACAAAACAAGTGAGGATAAGGCCCGGTTTTCCCTGTGATTGCAATGATGTATATTTTTGGTCATAGCAGAAGCAGAGATGTGAACACGATGTGTATGAATCTACTGTAATAATACTGGTTTACCTGTGCTTGTTGGAGGCAAACTGGTTATGGGGGAAAATAAACAGCACCGGGGACGCTTGGGTTTTATAACACTACCTATTATATTTTGGTAAGCTTCAATCACGAAAAAACTTACGTGAGATAACTACTTGTAGCTGGGATATTCTATGGCTAACGGCAGCGTCATCTCCAACCGTAATCTCGATGCAGAGGAGAAGTAAAACGTTGTAGGCTAGGAATGCGTCCTCTGATGGCTTGGTATGAAAGATTTAGTCAGAAACACTAGATCGGAGACTCAAACAACTGACAAATCCCAGGCTAAACGTTGCAAAGTTGCAAGTATGCATCTGGTTTTGGGCTTGGTATGAAAGATTTAGTCAGAAACATTAGATCGGAGATTCAAACAACTGACAAATCCCAGGCCAAACGTTGCAAAGTTGCAAGTATACATCTGGTTTTCACGTTGTTTTCATTGACCAGGAAGTTGAAAAAACTACCCGGAAAGTTTACAACTCATTTGTTCAAAACTTCACCATTCAGCTGTTCCAATTTAAAGACGCAGAGTACGGTAAACATTGTTTGCATAATCGATCCCCTTTAATCAAATTATATTTTTATTCTTTGAGTAGAGCCGTTCCACGACAATCACACCTGTCCTCGTTAGGCGGCACTTCAGTGTTTGGTGAAGCAAACTCATGAAGTGTTTACCAAAGTGAAAGAAAAGAACAAAATATGCTCTTCATCTAGAAACCCTACAATGTGGACAAAATTCAGGTGGTAAATACAAATCTGAGGAGAACACCTCGAGTGGGACGTTTGCTCGTTTTGTTTTTTGAAAAAACTACCCGGAAAGTTTACAACTCATTTGTTCAAAACTTCACCATTCAGCTGTTCCAATTTAAAGACGCAGAGTACGGTAAACATTGTTTGCATAATCGATCCCCTTTAATCAAATTATATTTTTATTCTTTGAGTAGAGCCGTTCCACGACAATCACACCTGTCCTCGTTAGGCGGCACTTCAGTGTTTGGTGAAGCAAACTCATGAAGTGTTTACCAAAGTGAAAGAAAAGAACAAAATATGCTCTTCATCTAGAAACCCTACAATGTGGACAAAATTCAGGTGGTAAATACAAATCTGAGGAGAACACCTCGAGTGGGACGTTTGCTCGTTTTGTTTTTCGTAAGACTGATAAGTTACTGATTTTTTCTCTAGTCTGTACGACGGAGATTACTTAAATCTAGCTTGAATCATGTGGAAATATTGCAGTATACTTAGTAAGCCTGTCTGTTCCAAAGTCGTAACTTGAAGATGGGGAAAAAACAATTAAATCAGGAACCAATATTACCCTATCGCTGCATTGCATTTTGAGGCACAAAAGTTTGTGAACACTCGTGATGAGACATGGATTCTGTAATACTTGCTTTGTGATTTTTTTTCAGTTGTTAGCCTGACACTTCGACATTTTGTCATCCTGATATTTACGACTCACATGACTACAAATACAACTTGAAAACTTCAAAATGTGGTATAAAAACCCACCATGGTTGGAAATTCTTGATCAAATATCGCATCGTTTTTTCGGTTTGTCTCAATGTCTTCAATGAATCACATGAAAACGACCGTAAATCTTACTTTTTTTGCGTAACTAGGCATTTCCTCTAGGGTGGCATTCACTGGTATCTTGTTGTTCAGGCGGCAGATATAAAAGGAAATTGGCCAGCTGCCCACCGTGTCATTTCCAGTATTTTACGACCTGTTTAGGCTTTCATTTTCTCGGTTCACTGGCACCCTCACTTTGAACTCTTTGATGCTACGTACTGACTGATAAATGAACTCCGGGGACCATTTGATTCTAATGAACATGGTAGCGACCAATATATTTCCTACAATGTACATTGTAAACTTCAAGGCAATCACGTGAGGGAATTGACTTGATAGTGAGCATTTATGAGCCTACCGGATACGACTGCTCTATGGATTATTAACTCACCCAGGAGTACTGAAACAAGTTAATTGTTTACGAATTTCCCGATGACATTTCCTGTTATGATGATAGTTCCCGTGATTGGGTAAGTTGACTTTGATAATTTGTTGGACAACTGCCGTAGATTCTAGACGAATCAAGCCTGCATCACACAAGTATTTCAGAAAAGAATTCTGTCCTGTTTTTTTTAATTAAATAGATAATTCCTAGCGAATATTCGGATAAGTTGTTTGCATTTTTGTCTTTTTTGAACCGTCAGTAGTGTGTACCTCTGGGCTCTCTGGGAAGATTCGAATTCAGGGTCTCCTGCTGGTCAATTAGACAATGTAGTATGCCGCTACTAACTGACTAACATGTAATTCAACGGTAAATAAGATGACTTTCCTGTAATCAAGTCGTTCGTATCCTCTTGAGCTTCGGTGAGCCTGCTATTACTACTATCAAAGGAGTAAACCGGTTGCAAACGTTGTACACTATTTCTATTGTGTAATTTTCGAGCATCTGTTAGACAAATGCAACTCCGCAAATCCGTCGGTGTGCAGTCCATAGTCACATACAACATGGCTAGCAAGAACCACCGTCGCAACCTAGTGAATATTGTTCTTTGAAGCGAAATCAATAAATTATTTTGCACACACATTTAACACTCTGCTCTGAGCTTTTTATCCTTGGAAGACAAAAGAAGGAAGCGTATCTAAGAGTAACAAGGCGTGAACCACCGATCTACAAATGACTTGTGAAAATTGCGGTTGAACGCTAGATATCAAACTCAGCACTGCAGTGTGCTACATTTGATCTAACTGTTAAGCAATGACGGTGACAGAACAATGAATTTTCCAAAAGCGTAGAAAATGTGCAGTTGATTACCCTGCACTGAAATTCAAACGTTGGGTAAAAGTGAAAACACTCTTGAGAAAATAAAGTCAGTAATTTTCTGTTAATTAGATGAGGTTTGTGCTGAAGAGTGATTTTATCCCTGACGTATGAAATCATAGTCACTTGACGTAACATCCACTTGATGTCTAGCTACCATGCCACCCGA